CACACGGCTGACCAGTGCGGTCACCAGTGCGAATGAGGTACGTGCAGTTAAGGCCACCCCGCCCCCCACCCCCGTGCTGAGAGTACCACTCACGGACCTCCTGGAGCGACGGAGTGTGCTGCTGGACCTGGCCACCTCCAGCGCCTCCACGACCACCACCGCCGCCGCCACCTCCTCGACCACCCCAACCCCTGCCGCCGCCGCATCCACCGCCACCCCCACCACCGCCTCCGCCCCTGCCACCTCCCCCGCCGCTGCCGTCACCACCCCCACCGCTGCCACTAGCCCCTCCAGTCGCGCCACCACCCCCACCGCCGCCACCACCCCCACCACCGCCTCCCCCGCTGTCACCACCTCCTCCCTTGCCCCCTCTGCCCCTGCCGCTGCGGCGCCCGCTCGAAGCAGACGCAGCCCCGACCTTCTCAGCACCAAGGAGGTCGACAGCAGCAGCAGAGGCGACAGAGGGGAGAAGGGGGGAAGGGGAACACCCCTCAAAGAAAGGGGTGCGGGGGTCGCCACGAGAGGCACCTACAGCGACTATGCTAGTCTCAGCTGCAAGTAGCTCCTTCTCGAGGAGGGCAATGGTGAGCTCAGTGGGGCAACGAGCTAGGAAGTGGTCCCTGACAGCACGCAGTGTGTCAGGGAGGCGGGTGACTAGGTGGTAGAGAGTGAGCCAGAGTGGGGGGGGGTGAGTGGCAAGGAACTCAGCGGGCATGGCGGCACGGAAGCGGGCCTCATTAGTACGGAGGTGCGTGATGAGGTCAGCGACTGTGTGGAACGAGGCCAGGTTGGGAAACAGGTAGGGGAGGGAGAGACGACCTAGCGCGGCAGAGGCAGGTGAGGAGTAGCGAGCAACGACAGCTGTGTACAGTGCCTGTGCAGTCTTGTGCTGGCCAAAGTGCTCGCGTTCGTCTATCGGCAGGGAGTTGCGAATAGGGAAGCGAGCGTGGGCATCACGAGTCTGCCACTGTGAGCGAGCAGTGCTGTGAGCAGTAGCAGCAGGGGCAGTGACATGGCCTAGGGCGTGATCGTACAGTGAGATGTCGTCCTTGGCTGTGAGCTGTAGATAGAGGTGCAGGTCATCTAGCCAGGTGTCAAACTTCACTGGGCGGCCCTCAGCATCGAAAACGAGAACCTGTGGGCTAGCCATAGGAGCAGTAGAAGTATCAGCAGAAGGAGGAGGAGGAAGCAGGTAGGGCAGCTCGGTTCAGGTAGGGCGGCGCGGCTCGGGTGGGGCGGCGCGGCTCGGATCGGGCGGCGCGGCTCGGGTGGGGCGGTGCGGCTCAGGTGGGGCGGCGCGGCTAGGATCGGGCGGCGCGGCTCGGTTTGGGTCGGGCGGCTCGGTTCGGGCGGCTCGGTTCGGGCTGCTCGGGTCGGGCGGCTCGTTCTGGGCGGGGCCGTTCGGGGTCCTAGGGGCGAGCGCGGGGCCGATCGGGGCCTTTAGAGGCGAGCGCGCGGCCGTAAGGGGCTGCTAGGGACGAGCGCGGGGCCGTAAGGGGCCGCTAAGGGCGAGCGCGGGGCCGATCGGGGCCTCTAGGGGCAAGCGCGGGGCCGTAAGGGGCCTCTAGGGGCAAGCGCGGGGCCGTTCGGGGCCTCTACGGGCAAGCGCGGGGCCGTTCGGGGCTCTAGGGAGGTGAGCGCGGGGCCGACGGGGCCTCTAGGGGCGATCGCGGGGCCGAAAGGGTCCGCTAGGGGCGAGCGCGTGGGCCGTTCGGGGCCTCTAGGGGCGGGCCGACGGGGCCTTAAAGGGTCGTGAAAAACCGAGGCGCCCTAGGGTGCAGGTAGGTAGGTAGGTAGGTAGGTAGGTAGTGGTGGGCCCTAAAAAATCGGTCCTAGGAAGGACCTGCTCTATACCATGTTGAAATCAATGAACAGGAATGGATGAACTAACAGTGAAAACAGTACAAGTACCTAACCCTAGAATTGTGTACCCGCTATAGGCTAACCCACTGTAGCCTAAACAAGCACAATATATATAATGTTTGACATATCTCATATTTAAGGCCGCTGACTTACTTATCCAACCGCTCTGCTTCCGACATGTCATCGATCTGGTCGGCGAAGCCCGTAAATGACGCCGTGTAGTCTTGGACAGAAGCCATCTGCGACCATGCACGCAGCTTCATGCGAGCTTGCTCCGAGGCGGATACGTGCTCGAAGCGATCTCGTAAGGCTGCGCCCCACTCCTTCCACGTGCGTATCTTGGTCACACAGAAGATCGGTTCTGCCACTTGATTAACCACTGTAGAGGTCCCGTCTGCCGCATGTGTCATACCTGTCGGAGTCCATGTTTCCAAGGTCCGGCGCCACCACTCAAGCGCCGCGCCCCGAAGAAGTGAAACCGCGTAATTAATACGCGTGGCATCGTCGTTAACGCCTGCTGCCGTGAAGAAGACCTCGACACCGAACAGCCACCCCTTGACTGTAGTTGTCTTGTCCTTAGGATTAAACGGGGGCGGGTTGACGGGCTTGATCTTGATCGTCGTAACTGCAACTGGCGCTGCTGTCGCTTGTTGCCTATCTTCTTCTTCGAAGTTACGTGTGAGAGCATCCAGTGGGTTGCTCATCGCCTGAATGTTGCCCTCGCCTTCGTCCACAGGCGACTCCTGACGCGCTTCACCTCGCGTCTGGCGTAGCTCGGCGTTTTCCTCTTGTAGTGTTGTCACTTCCGCCATTAATGTCTTCATGCTCTCCTGGATCTATGCCACTTGCGCCATCATCCGGTTAACAGCCTCCTGATCCATGTGCCTAGCGCTACGTCTGGTGGGCAGTCGGGTCTCCGTGGCTTTCAGGCAAGTGAAAACACGAACTATCGGAGTCGGGCAGGATTGAATTAACAATCCCTGCAGCCAACCGTCGTGTAGTCACTAAACCAGCCACACCCTATGCCACCAAACTACCCTCGGAAAAGCGGGGTGAACTAGGAAAGTAGCTCTGATACCAGGTGTTATGAGTTGTAAAAGAGAGTGCGCAGGTAAACGAATAACGAGACTGTCACTGAATGAACTGAGAATACAATGAGTGCACAGACTAATGTAGGGCTAGCCTAGCTAGGAGGAAACCTCGGAAGACGAGGTTGGGTGCAAGTTTGGCGATGGAAATGCCGAAGGCGACGCGAGGAGCCTCGGCAGCGTTGAAATCGGCCGGACGTGCGAACTCCTAAAATCGGGTTGTACGCGAAGCAGTCAACCCCGATAAGGAATTCGGGAAAATTCCTTACAAGCAGCCCATCACGGGAATGGTAACTTTGATGAAATTAGCTCTGACATGACCCTGATTTGACAGTTTCCCGCTCGCGCCAAACCAAACCACGAGCTCTGATGCACCCACGTCCTCCTGAACCACGTACGCCACTCAACCGAACCAGAACCAAGCGTATTGTACACCGCGTGCACACTAAGATCAACCCAACCTGCAAACTCCATCAGATTGCTCCCCGTCATCCTGCTCTAGCCCTACTCGACACTAACTTAGTAAGGACTTCTTAGCAGACTTATTACCCGGCCATAAAATCCACGGAAGCTCGAGTTACAGCTGATCCGTATCAGAGGTGCGTCTCACTCCCTTTCTCTTCCCTATATGCTGAACCTACTCGAATCTATCCATTCTTCGAAATTCTGAATGATCGCCGCTGGGCGCATAGCGCCTGTCTCGCGGCCAGCGCTATGCGCCCAGCGGAATGCTCGTCGCTGGGCGCATAGCGCGCATCTCGCGGCCAGCGCTATGCGCCCAATGGAATGCTCGCCGCTGGGCGCGTAGCGCGCATCTCGCGGCCAGCGCTATGCGCCCAGCGGAATGCTCGCCGCTGGGCGCGTAGCGCGCATCTCGCGGCCAGCGCTATGCGCCAAGCTATGCGCATTCCGCTGGGCGCATTGCGCCTCTCTCGCAGCCAGCAATGCGCTCAGCGGATTGCTCACCGCTGGGCGCATTGCTCACCGCTGGGCGCATTGCGCCTCTCTCGCGGCCAGCAATGCGCTCAGCGGATTGCTCACCGCTGGGCGCATTGCGCCTCTCTCGCGGCCAGCAATGCGCTCAGCGGATTGCTCACCGCTGGGCGCATTGCGCCTCTCTCGCGGCCAGCAATGCGCTCAGCGGATTGCTCACCGCTGAGCGCATTGCGCCTCTCTCGCGGCCAGCAATGCGCTCAGCGGATTGCTCACCGCTGGGCGCATTGCGCCTCTCTCGCGGCCTGCAATGCGCTCAGCGGATTGCTCGCCGCTGAGCGCATTGCGCCTCTCTCGCGGCCAGCAATGCGCTCAGCACATTGCTCACCGCTGGGCGCATCACAGCTCTCTCGCGGCCAGTAATGCGCTCAGCGGATTGCTCACCGCTGGGCGCATTGCGCCTCTCTCGCGGCCAGCAATGCGCTCAGCGGATTGCTCACCGCTGAGCGCATTGCGCCTCTTTCTCCAGCGCTATTCGCCCTGCGGAATCCTTGCCGCTAGGCACATAGCTGCTCTCTCGCGACCTGCGCTATTCGCCCTGCGGAATCCTTGCCGCTGGGCGCATAGCTGATCTCTCGCGGCCAGCGCTATGCACTCAGCGGTGAGCTCACCCTTTCCTTGCTATTACTCAACCCCGCCACTCTCTCTCTCTCTCTCTCTCTCTCTCTCTCTCTCTCTCTCTCTCTCTCTCTCTCTCTCTCTCTCTCGTCTCTCTCCCCCCTCTCCCTCCCCACCGGTACTACGGCAGTTGTTTGCAGGCTTCTTTGCCTCACAGCCATTCCGCTTTGAGCCATACGACCTTCTCACCAACATCGTCAAGGTGCGCCCACTCCCTCACTTCACTTTACTTGAACTGCCCTGCCCTTGATGACTTCCAGAAACATGTGACTGCTTCCCCGTGGGGGCTCACCGCTCGTGGAACCTCATCCAGGTTTAGGGACTCACTCACTGCACTTCAACTTCCCTGCCTTAGGCGTCTCTCACGCGGCCAGCTATGCGCCCAGCGGAAAGCTCACCGTCCTCCCGTTGCACAGATACGACCTCCCCCACATCAGCCTATACAGTTGCAACCTCCTCGTCCTTTTCCTCATCTCTGTCTGCCCCCCTGCCCTCTTCTCCCTCTTTCTGAACCCCAACCTCCTCTTCCGCCTGTATTTTTCCCACACTCCGTTTTTCCCTTTCCACATACCCATCCCTATCGTCCACTCTCTCATCCATTCCTCCTTCACTCTCCTCACTCTTAAGATCCTCCCTCTCTTCATCCACCACCCTATAACCTCTCCCCTCCCCATAATCCCTCTCCCCTCTCTCATCCGCCTCCTCCTCCTCCTCCTCCTCCTCCTCCTCCTCCCCCCTCTCCATGCCTCCAGAGCCTTGCCTCTCCACCCCTTCACCAACATCCATCTCATCACCTTCACTCTCCTGCCTCCTATCCTCCTCCTCCTCACCCTCCCCCTCACTCTCCCCCTCACTCTCCCCCTCACTCTCCTCTTCACCCCTCGCCGAATTCTCAAACAGCCCTTCTCCACTCCGCTTATTATCCTCCTCCAACTTGCCTTCCTCCAGCCTGCCCTCCGCAAACGTGCCCTCTTCTTCCTCTCCATTATTCTAATACTCATCTCTATCCTCCCCATGCTCCGTATAATGCTCCTCCTTGTTATTCCTTTCTCTGTAACCCTCATCTGCCTCCTCCCCCTCCTCCTCCTCATCTTCCGCCATCTGGTTCTGATGGTATCGATGTCGCCTCTCCATCATCACCTCCCCGTCACTATCCCCCTCACACTCCTCCCGCTCACTCCCCTCCCTCTCAATACCCTCTTTCTTGTCCTCTTCCTCCTCTCTCTCCTCCCTCTCACCCTCACTGGCTTCCCTATTGCTCTCCTCTCCCTCACTTTCCTCCATCATAGAACCACCACCTACTGCCTCTGCTCCCCTCTCCTCCTCCCTTTCCTCCTCCCCTCTCTCCTCCTCCCGATCCCGCTCACTACCAGACTCCTCCCCACCAACCTCCTCATCCTCCTCACGCCCCTCATCCCACTCTCTCTCCTGAAGCTCCCCATCTTACCCTTCCTCCTCCTGCTCCTCCCTCTCTTCCTCCCTCTCCTCGTGCTCCCCCCTCTCCCCAAGCGCATTCTCGTCAAAAGCAGACTCAATAAGAGCAACGGACGCATCGCCTTGCATCGGATACACTCCCTCTCCACCCTATCTTACAGAAGCTCCCACTGCCAGCCCCACCCCAGCAATGCCAGCGGAAAGGGCGGCCACAGAAGGGGCGGCCACAGCAACAGCAACAGCAACATCGTTATCGGGTTCACTCCCATCGCTCTCACTCATACGCCCACTTCCAATATCACCACTGTCCCTTTGAGCCCTTGACCTGTCCCCATCCTCGTCCCCCGTTGCCTCTTCCCTCAACTCGCCCTCTCTCAAGCGTTCCTCCTAATGTTATCCCTTCTCCTGCTACTGCTCCTCCTGTTCCTCCTCCTCCACCTGCTCCTCCTCTTCGTCTTCCCAAACCCTTCTCTGTTTACTCCCTCGCCCCCGTCACCTCTCATTCCTCCACTTCTTCATCTTCGCTCTCCATCCTCCCGTCAACTTCCATCCTCACTCCCTTCCTCACTACCAGCATGCATCTCGGCCCATTGTCTCTCCCTCTCTTCCTCCACACTCTCTTCCTCACGTTCCCCCTCACTCTCCCCTCTCTCCATCTCCTCATCCTCATCTCTCACACTCCCCTCCTCTTCCCCATCCCTCAGACTCTCCCACTGCCTCTCCCTCTCCTCTTCTTCACCCCTAGACCCCTCACTCCCCCTCTCACTTCCCTCCTCACTCCTCCTCTTACTTCCCTCCTCACTCCCCCTCTCATCCTCGTACCTACCCTCTCTCTCCCCCACCAGCCCATCCCACCCTTCCCTCCTCCCACTCCCCAAAAACTCTCGCCTCCAACTCCCCTACGGCGACAACTCAGGCGTCAAAACCCCTTCCCTCTCCCCCTTGTCTTTCCAGCTCCCTTGTCAAATCCCCCTCCCTCTGATGCAACTCAATTACAGACCCTTCCCCTTCCGACCCTTCCCTCTCTCGCTCCCTGACATGTCCCCCCTCCAACTGCCCTGAGGGGTTAGCACAGGTGTCCAAACCCCCTCCCCCTCTTCCTCCCTCTCCCTCTCCCTCTCCCTCTCTGCCTCTTCTCCCCAGTCCCCGCTTCCCTTGGGGGTAATCTCCCCTTCACCCCTCCAAACCGGGGTGAGTTCCCCTTCGCCCCCCCAGCTGCCCAGGGGAGTTAACGCATCATCACCCCTGAAGCTGCCCAGAAGGGTGACGTCATCACCCCTCAAGCTCCCCTGGGGTGTAAGCTCTGGAGCCAAAACTCCCGCCGAACCACGGTCACTGCCAAGCCCCTGTCCGAACCTGATCACTCCTCATTCTCCCGCTGCTCACTATGATCGTCACTAAGCTCACTACGCTCACCATCTCCCTCCTCCTCATCCTCCTCTGCTTCATCATTAGGCCTACCAACATCTACCACCATACCAGACCCCCTTCGGCCCATCAAACCTGAACCTAATCGGCCACTAAGGCCCCCCATCAACCCCACCCTCTTGCTACCCTCACTCCGCTTCCTCTCCTCGCCTTCCTCCCCATCCTCCATCTCAACCGCACTTAACCCCCTCCGCTGCTCCCTGTCCCCTTCCATCCCCTGAACCCAATCACTCCCTAAACCCGTTCTCATTGATTCTCTATTTGCAGCCCATACCCTCCACTCCTAGTCCGCCCTTTCCTCTATCTCTCGCGCCTCTCTCGCGGCCAGCGCTATGCGCTTGCGGAATGCTCGCTCCCCATCACACGCTGTCTTCTCCCCTGTTCTTCACCCTCATCCCCTGTCACTTACACTTTCATCCCCTCGTATGCCCTTTATTGTCATAACCCCTGTCCCACCTCTCATCCTCATTCATGTCCTCGCTCCCATACCCCTACCCCTGTTCCATCTCTTTCCCCTACCCCTCCACCACCCTCCGAATCACAGCGCGCAGCGCCTGGCGGTGCTGTTCATGTGCATTCTGAGCCACGTGCGGCGGGGCAACCCCAACTTCAACAGGAACCTGGTGGAGTCGCTCTACTGCAACTAGTTTCCAGGTACCCTCCCTCACTCTCTCTGTGGCGTAACCCTCACGATTGCCTCGTTGCCATTTTCCAAAAACCTCCCGACTCATTCTCTCCCTTTCCACTCCCTCACGCTTGTCTCGCACCCTACTCTGATTTTGGGGCCCTGCCATTCTCTGCTGCGTAAGTGTCACGATTGTCTCGCTACCTACCTGCATTTTTGTCCCCGCTCTCCCTCTCTCTGCTGCACTGACACACTTGTTTGCACCCTACTCGAATTTCCCTGCCCTGCCTCTCTTTGTTGCGTAACCCTACGCGCAACGCGAGACCGCTGAGCGAGTTCGCTCTCTCATCCCCTCCCGCTATCTCTCAATCCCTACCGTTCTATCTACCCTGCCCTCTCTATCTTCTGCGCACTAGTCATGATTGTCTCGCTGTGCACTTGCATTACCCTCCCCACACTCTCTCACGCTAGAATCCCATCCTACTCTGATTTCCCTGCCCCCCCCCCCCCCTCCCCCCCCTCGCTCTACTGCATAATTCCCTATCTCCCCTCTTGCAGGGCCAGGGTCCAGCCTCTGGCATCATGTTTCGCCTACTGCATTCCAGGTACGAACCCGTTTCCCAACGCAATGATTATCACAACACGTGTTATTTTGTTGTGTTCCAGCGTATGCTAGCAACACCAATGCTACAACTTATGCACTCGAGGTGTTTTATGTATCTCTCTCCTCTCATTCTTTTGCCACCCCAGTACCTTTGAGATGCAGGAGAATGATGCAGTCAACATCCACCTAGGGAAAGTACATTCTACTGCAGACGTGGCGAGGGCAGATGTGCGGCTGTACTGTTGGCAACAGATGGTATCTCCGTACTTTCATTACAATCGTAGCAATCTCATTGAGGTGCGATGCAAGAGTATGCAGGGGAAGGGTTGGCCCAAACGTGAGGTGAGTAGTGACGCCGGGCTATGCCCTTTTCGTATCATCGTGCGAGGGCCTGTTTGTGATAACCTCAGGGTCACGACAGCTCATTTGGAGCATGCGGATAGGTGTACAGTCAGTGCAGCTAGGGTCCAACGGGAAGAGGTGAAAGAGGTTGCACGTGAGATGAGAATGCACGGCGAGGTTAGACCGGCAGCGTTGATGAGCCGTGTTCATCAGGTGCTGGGTGTGCACGATTCTTATACTCTCGCACGGGAAGTGCTTTGGGAGTTGAGTGATGATGAGCTTTTTGGGGGAGATAAAGGATTCGAGTACATGGAGGACCTGCTGAGAAAGTTTGAGGTCGAAAACCCGTCATGTAAAGTGTCATTGGTGAGGCGGGGTAACAACTTCTACTGGGCCGGTGTCATCTATCCAGGTGCCAAGGAGTCTGTGATGAACTGTTTGCCTATCCTTTTTGCAGATGGTTGTCATAATAAGACGAGATGGGGGGGTTACACTTTGAACATTTGCATGCTGGACAGTCAACACAAGCTTGTTAGGTTGGGGTGTGCGTGGGTCGAGGGCGAGAACAAGCAGTCGTGTACCTTCCTCTTTCAACTCTTGCTAGAGGCAGTACCGGAGGTGAACTCCCCCGATTTTGTGATTATGCATGATAGGGGAGGTGCATGGAAGTCGGCGACAGCAGCTTGTCTTCCCCTAATACGGGAGTCATATTGCATCACTCATTTGGTGCGCAATTTCAAAAACAAGTTTCGGACAGACTTGGATGGGAGGATCCTCGAGCTGCAGCGGCTCTTACTCCATTGGTTTACCACAAAACGATGGAGAAAATCGAGCAAGAATGCCCTGGTGGGAAGGCATATCTTGTTGACAACGATTTGCATAAGAAGTGGGCCTCGGCGCACTTTGGTGCTCCGCGTTTTGGCTGCATGACCTCCAACCCCGTTGAGTCACACCACGCATCACTCTCAGGGCTGCGTGACAAAAGTCCCCCTCAAGTGTTGCACCTCTTGACGGCCAAGCTCTCAAAGAGTATTGAAAAGAGGCGCCTCGAGTACTCACAACTCACTGATGCGGTCTTCCCGCCAAGGACACGACCAATTATCAAGGCAAACTGCGACGAAGGAAAAAGATACGATGCTGAAGGGTCCGACGAGAACCGGTTCGTTGTGAGCCGAGGAGAGGGGGAGCTGAAGGTGGAATCGAGAGTCGTGACTACTAACCCCAACAATCCTTCAGCAACCAGCTGCACGTGTGGTTACACCAGGTAAGACATGGGAGCCCAGCAAGGGCAAGGGGTGCAATAAGTAGGGCAGGCAGCAAGGGAATGGGGGCAGCAAGGTTTGGGGAGCACCAGGGAATGTGAAGACAGCATGGAGGCAGGGGGGGGGGAGCTTGCAGGGCATCAAGGGAGATGGGGGCAGCAAGAAATGGGGGGCAACAATGTAAAGGGATGCAGTAGGAGAGGGGGTGAGATCGATGGAGGGAGGGATATTGTGCCAAACAACACGGGCTGGATCAGCACGCGAATGTAGCGCAGCATGCGAAATGGGGACGACAACATAAGGGGGGGCAGCAAGGGAAAAAGTGGTAGCCATGGATGGGAGGGACTGTATGCCACATATGGGACTGTTTCTTTACGTCTACAGCTTGAGCGCATGACTATGTTTATGTGTTTCTTTGACCAATCATTTCAATAACCAATCACCCTATTCCACGACACCAATACCCCCATACCCCAACAACAGGGAGTATGGGCTGCCGTGCGTCCACATTTTTGCTGTGTTCAAGAATGCAGGGCACAAGGCCCACGCTGTGATACACAACAGCCACACAGTTTCGGCGTTGCAGCAGGTGTACAAGACCCCGATTCGGACCCTCGACCCCACGTCAGTGATCCCGGATGGCATTACTCTACCGCCAGTCTACTCCAAAAGGGCGGGCCGGCCAAAAAAGAACAGGATTCGCTCAACAGGAGAGGTCGACCCTATCAAACTGCGCAAGTGTGGCAAATGTGGTGAGATGGGGCATAACTCTAGGACATGTGAGGTCCGGGTTGCGAACTGGGTGTTGTGGGAGGCATTACAAACCCCAGCAGGGCAATTGGCTATGCAGACGATGACCACGGCGGACGTGCGGTACATGTAGCCCCTTGTAGCGCATGTAACCGAAGTCATCGGAGAGGTATTCGTTGTGTCCATACCACTGCTGAGAGTGACGATGAGAGCGAACCGGACGAGGAGTCGGGCAGCGGGGAAGATGAGGGGGATGGCGAGGAGAATGGGAGCACATCGGCAGATTCGGTGTTGACGGAAATATTTGGGAGGGTGCCTGTACCTGCCGGGGATCTCCCTCCCGAAACAGTGACGGATGATATGGGGGCCGGTTCCGAAGGGTTGTACTTGGGCGGTGCGCAAGGAAGTAGTACAGGAGAGGGAACTTCGAGGGGGGGTGGCCTGAGGAGTGCGGACGACGTGGTTCGGGGGCGATTACGGAGGTTGCAATGTCTCAACATACAGAGGGAAGTGGTGGGGCACGTAGGCGACGACGATGTGCATGTGGGGCGTTCGGAGGAAGGGCGTGGTCGAGGTAGAAGTCAACAGGGAAGGGGTGGAGGGAGAGGTAGAGGCAGGTCTGGGGTGGTGTCTTCCACGGAAGAAGGTGGAGGCGCAGATTGTTTGGAAGGTCCTGATAGGGGAGGGCGCCAAAGAAGGGGAGGGCAGCAAGGGAGAGGAGGGAGGCAAGGAAGGGGAGGGCAGCAAGGGAGAGGAGGGAGGCAAGGAAGGGGAGGGCAGCAAGGGAGAGGAGGGAGGCAAGGAAGGGGAGGGCAGCAATGGAGAGGAGGGAGGCAAGGAAGGGGAGGGCAGCAAGGGAGAGGAGGGGGGCAAGGAAGGGGAGGGCAGCAAGGGAGGGATGGGCAGCAGGAAACGCGAGGGCTTCAAGGGTTGGAAGGGCAGCTGGGAATGCAAGGGCAGCATGACACGTGTGGGCAGCAGGGAATGGGGGGACCACTGGGAATGGGTTGGCAGCAGGGAATGGAAGGGCCACAGGGAATGGGTTGGTAGGAGGGAATGGGGAGGGCACTGGGAATGGGTTGGCAGCAAGGAATGGGGGGGGCAGATTGTTTGGGAGGGCAGCAGGGAATGGGCAAGCAGCAGGGAATGGGAGGGCGGCAGAGAATGAGAGAGCCGCAGACACTGGGAGGGCCACAGGGAATGGGAGGGCCACAGGGAATGGGAGGGGCACAGGGAATGGGAGGGGCACAGGGAATGGGAGGGGCACAGGGAATGGGAGGGGCACAGGGAATGGGAGGGGCTCAGGGAATGGGAGGGGCACAGGGAAGGGGAGGGGCACAGGGAATGGGAGGGGCACAAGGAATGGGAGGGGCACAGGGAATGGGAGGGGCACAGGGAATGGGAGGGGCACAGGGAATGGGAGGGGCACAGGGAAGGGGAGGGGCACAGGGAATGGGAGGGGCACAGGGAATGGGAGGGGCATAGGGAATGGGAGGGGCACAGGGAATGGGAGGGGCACAGGGAATGGGAGGGGCACAGGGAATGGGAGGGGCACAGGGAATGGGAGGGGCACAGGGAATGGGAGGGGCACAGGGAATGGGAGGGGCACAGGGAATGGGAGGGGCACAGGGAATGGGAGGTGCACAGGGAATGGGAGGGGCACAGGGAATGGGAGGGGCACAGGGAATGGGAGGGGCACAGGGAATGGGAGGGGCACAGGGAATGGGAGGGGCACAGGGAATGGGAGGGGCACAGGGAATGGGAGGGGCACAGGGAATAGGAGGGGCACAGGGAATGGGAGGGGCACAGGGAATGGGAAGGGCACAGGGGATGGGAGGGGCACAGGGAATGGGAGGGGCACAGGGAATGGGAGGGGCACAGAGAAGGGGTGGGCAGCAAGGTTTGGCCGGGCAGGAGGGGATGGGCGGGCAGCAGGGAATGGGCGGGCAGCAGAGAATGGTTGGGCGGCAGAGAATGGGAGAGCCGCAGACATTGGGAGGGCCACAGAGAATGGGAGGGTTGTTACAAAGGCAATTTAGTAACAGAGGTATCGATCAACGTTGGGGATTGTATGGGATGCCAATGCAGGAGAACGCAGGAGGCATCCTAAACCGTTGGAGCCATGTAGGTCTGCCACAGCAGAGTCGGGTGGACGGGTTGGTGACTGGAGTTCGTACTTGGTCAACAGAACAGGGTGGATCTGAGAACGGTGATCGCAATAATCAGCAGTATTAGGTATGCATTATGTCTTGTTTAAAATAGAAGGATTGTGACCATAGTGTGGGTGTGGCAGACTTCAAACGTGCGTCCCACAGATCCTCCTCTTATAGGTTTACATATCTATATAACCATCAGCACAATTAGTCAAGTATACACTTGCTAGGTTCACATTAAATTGTGTGTGAGACTTTACTTGTCCATTGGTGAACATGACTAAACTCACATTCCACCCTGTAAATCAGATAAGCTGGTTTCGTTCGTAACATGCTACGCTGGAAATTCTATTTCACGCACAAAAAGACAGCATACAGCCCCTAAACTCATCGATAGCAAGAGCCCAGAACACAAGGTGTCTCATCCCGGATATAGCGCACCTGGCGGCCTGCACTTATATCGGTAATAAATCACGAATCAACCTGAGAAGCTGGGGATAGGAAGAGAGAGTGACAGAATGGGCAAAAGCGAGAGAAGTACCGTAGGCGGAAAAGGGCAATGGCCACCAGTGTTTGTCCACAGTAGGAGCACAAGATGGTGTTGACAGTGAACGTTATGTACATTCTAAAAGTCAAGCCTAGTGTGACAAGCATGACAATAATAGGTGAGCCTCTAGTGAGCATACAACAAAATGGCCCAGCTTGCCTAGTGTGTCATCATGATTGAAAAGTCATGGTTGGTGGGCATTTATACAACAAGATATGGGAAGGGAAATGTTATGTTCGTGTTTGCCATGCATCGGGATTTCTCGAACTCCATAACAACCACATACAGAAGCCTCTTGTCGCGAAGACATGTGTATTTGTCCTGTGATGTTTGGGTAATCGTAGTTCTACAAACCTGGATCTAACAATGGTTTGAATTACAACATGCCATTAGCTTATACAGCATCTCACGATCTACACTGTGCCCATGCAAATGTGCCAACCTGTCCTACCCCTCCAAGTCATCTTGCTTTTCATGATATCTCATTGCACAACATCGCTATCTCATAACAACCTCTACCCAGACAATTGCACGGCTGGCGGTACACCAAACGTCATGCTCTAATCTTGCCACCGTTACCTCGAGGCTGCCGCTACCAACTCCCCTTATGACAACACGAAATGAGCACAGCCCATCCTCCTCATTGTGCAACGCCACAGTCGGATGGCGGTGCACTGTGTTACACTGCAACACTATGAGGTTTGGGCGGCTATAAAGAAAGCGCGGCACAATCATATGCTGCCGACAGAACAACAACAGTTCCTCCCTCGCCACGCTTGCATTAGTGTAGACCTTCCCTAGGTAGATGTTGACTGCATCACCCATACGCTGTTGAAGGAGTATGGGGGTTCGAAAATAGGAGGAATGGAGTAGAACTATTATGCTACATATCCAGGTGTATTGGTACAGGTGTTAATCACAGTTGCTTTGTTATAGCAATGGATATAATACAAACTGATCTTCAGGAATGAGGTCGCACCTGGAACGCTGGATGCAAGACATGATCACCACAGCAGAGGTCTCAAGCCCTGAACGATAATGAGAGTAGGTGAGAGTAGGGCTATGAGGTCAGATAAGCTGACGAGTGAGGGCAGTGTTGCACGCCCCCCAAGGTAGCACAGCAGCGGCACACGGCTGCCCGGAGCCCGGTTGGGAAAGAGCTCCGAGCTGTAGATGGTACCTGGTGAGGGGTCAAGGGGTGTGAGAGGGAGGGGAGGGAGGTCATACGGCAATGGGAGAGAGCAAGGAGGATGAGGCTCAGTTGGGAGACAGGAAATAGAGCAGGCGAGGGAGGGCAGGCACAGACAGTAGTATGAAGCACAGTTGGGACAGAGGAGGGTGGAGCATGTATCAGAAGTGCCTGGACTTAAAAAATGGGCAGTGGTCACAGCAAGGAGCATGGAGCCCAGGCAGGAAAAAAGTGAGATATATCGTGGAACAGATTAGTATACTAGATGCGGTCTGCCGGTATCGCCTAGGCTCCCCCCTCTCTCAACCATCCCTCTCGTCCATCCCTCCCGCCCATCCCTCTCGCCCATCCCCTCAACCATCTCTGTGAACCATCCCCCAACCAACCTCAAGCTTGCCTGGCAACCTATGCCTCACCCAGAGTGACGATTCCCTGGGTGCGCGGGTGCAGCTGCCCAAAGCCTTTGAGCTCCCTTCACTTCCCACCCACCTCTTGTTTAGTACTCCGTAGGCTCCTTCATCCCACTCCTCCCCAAACATCCTACTTAACCAGAGTGACGATTCCCTGGGTGCGCAGGTGCAGCTGCCCAAGGCATGTTTGCAAGAGAGTAGGGGGAATGCTCACTGAGTAGGGCTTGAGGAGGTCAGCAGCAACGTATGTGGGCACGGTGAGCAGCAGGTAGCGTGCAGAGAGCTGCTTGGCGCCCTCGGGAGTGTCGTAGGACAGAAGGAAGCCGCTGCCACCTGGCCGCTTCTCTTGGCTGTCAGCTTCCACCCGAGCCTCACTCGGTCGTCAAGCCTGGAGGGCAGGTTCCGAAAGGGTAGGTCGGTGGAACGAAATGTGATGTGGGAATTATGTGATCATGTGTTCTTTATAAAACGATTTAGAGTGGTGTGGTGTGGTGTGGTGTGGTGTGGTGTGGCATAGCATGGCATGGCATGGCATGTCACAGTGGAAACCTATTATATTATGTGATGGAGGATCATGGCATCACGTCGCATAGCAATGCAAGCCATGCCATGGCATGGCATGGCATGGGATGGACACCTACAATAGGAGAGGTTAAGAGGGATTGGGCGGAATGGGAAAAGAATGCAAGGTAGAGAATGGCTAAGCATCGGACGGGAAATTAATGCATAAGCACAGAGATTGAGGGGGGATAGGAGGGGACGTTGTGCATTTGGGATCGATAAAGAGGGAATCACAGGAGATAGGAGAGAAAAAGAGGGGGAGATAGGGTAGGGTTAGGGATTAGAGATGAAGTGACGGGACAAGAATTTTTATTTGCAATGTTTGAGGGCCGACAAAACTGCATGTGAGGGAAAGATACGGTGTGATAGTAAATGAGTGGGCATCAACCCACCGCTGGGTGATTGGATGGCATGAGATGACAGAAGAAGGGATGCGAAACAGAATGCAACAGAGTGAGAGAGTGTGATAGGTGACGGTGTAGCAGGGGAGGGCATAAGAGAGAACAGGAAAGAGGAGTGGAGGGAGGGATTGGAGAAGGCATAGCATGTGGGGTAATGATCGCGTATGAAAGAGAATGATCTGGGGTACCTTGTCAGGATGGGGGAGGGTATAGTAGGGGAGGGTATAGCAGATGAGGGCATACGTGGGAATGTGCGTCGGAATGTGTGGGAGAATTTGATGCCCAAATGGAGTAAGACAGGGAATTAAACTGCTGGAGATGCCATAAGAGTGGATGAGAGGGACTATGAAAGGGGATAACATGATAAGATGTTGGTCATAGCAGTGAACAACATAAGAGGGGATGTAAATGAGTATGTGGGGGGATGAGGACGGGGTTGGATAGGGATGGGAACAGCCATGGCGGCAGTAAGGGAACATGGGAACCACAAGGACCCGTTCCAGGGTTGTCGCTTGCTCTGGGCCAAGAACTTAACGGGCTGAGGTGCCCTGAATTCAGCCCTTATTTATCCGGGTTGAGTCAGATTTCAACACTTCGAACCAGGGCTACACATCCTTCTGCACTTGAGCGTTAACACATCGTGAAAGTAGATGACCTTCAAATACACGTAAGGGCGGCGGTACATAGCAGATCAATAAGCCCATCTACACTGCAACGGGTGAGGGAGAAGGTATGGAGCTTCTACGTAAGCAGGGGAGACATATCAAGGGAAACGAGGGGGTAGGGTGGTAGGTGAGGGCTCTGAGCGTATACGTGAAATCCGGGTTAGGCGTCAAACCAGCCCGTAAGGAAAAGGGGCAGGCCTCAAAGCCAGCCCTTGAATTCTCTGAGTTGGGCCCAAACCAGCACGTGAATTCAAGGGTAAAAAGGGCAAATGCCCTTGTAGCGACAGGCCTGACCCGTTCCCATGTCATTGCTATTCCCATGTCACCACCTCTTTGTCAGACCCGTTCCCTTGCTGCATGGGAACAGCCTGAGATGGGATAACGAGAGTTTCAGTGGATGAGTGAAATTTGAGGGCAGATTCACTCACGGGAGCAGGAGAGGGTGTTAGAGGGTATGTTTGGGGATGGTCAGGCATGTGGGGTACTAGTAGCGTATGTGAGAGAATGAGAGGGGACTAGAGGGCAGGATATGCGACAACATTGGATAACAGGTGATGAAAGAGAAAGAACTTTTAAAAGATGGCTGGATAAGGGGTGGTGGTAAATCTCGTTCTGGCAGAAGATAGATAGAGAGGAATAACAAGCAGAGATTAGGTAGTAGATTTAAAGGCAGAAGCAATGGGAGGACATAAAAGGGGATGAGATGGTATGAATAAGGAGGGGCTTGCATGAGAGGACAAAAATGGGGATGAATGGTAGGACATGGGATCAGAATGAGAGGGGATGAGAGAGGAAGATAGGGGAGGGGACAAAACCCGACGGGATAACAAGTCTGTATAGGGAATGACTAAACCCGGAATTCGAGGGCTGGATAGTGGACGAGAGGGGTTTGAGAGGGAAGAGTAGGGCGAGAGAAAAAACGAGAGGGAATGTGGGGGGCTGAATACAAGCGTGCTTCCTCCATCATCCCCCACTCTTCCCCCCTCACTCAGCGGTCTGGCCGGGTGCTGGCCAGGTTCGGCCAGGCCTGGCATGTTAGGCCTGGCCCGGTTTGGCCAGGCCTGTTCATCCCCATGGAGCCTTTGGGGTTTGGGGTTTGGGGGGAGGTGGGCAAGGCAGCCATCCCAGTGAATTCCGATCCCCGAGCTCATCCCGTGCCATCCCATACTGATATTTGCATGTGCATGGTCTGAAACATGTCCGTTCTATTCTGAAACATGCACGTGCATGGCCTGACCTGACATAAGGCAAGGGATTGCATGATCGGGGATGAGAGGGTAAAATACTCGGCCTGCGGTCTCTCATTCTGCGCTGGGCGCATAGCTGGCCGCGTGAGAGACGCCTAAGGCAGGGAAGTTGAAGTGCAGTGAGTGAGTCCCTAAACCTGGATGAGGTTCCACGAGCGGTGAGCCCCCACGGGGGAGCAGTCACATGTTTCTGGAAGTCATCAAGGGCAGGGCAGTTCAAGTAAAGTGAAGTGAGGGAGTGGGCGCACCTTGACGATGTTGGTGAGAAGGTCGTATGGCTCAAAGCGGAATGGCTGTGAGGCGAACAAGCCAGCAAACACCTGCCGTAGTACCGGTGGGGAGGGAGAGGGGGGAGAGAGAGGAGAGAGAGAGAGAGAGAGAGAGAGAGAGAGAGAGAGAGAGAGAGAGAGAGAGAGAGAGAAAGAGAGAGAGAGAGAGAGAGAGAGAGAGAGAGAGAGAGAGAGAGAGAGGATACCCCTTAGCCCTCTGCCCTCTGCCTCACCCCTCTGCCCTCCGCCCTCCAGAGCTATTTAAGGGCTGTTTCTCTCTCCCCCTCCTCATTATTTCGTGTGGAGTTCATTTCCGGCGGGAGAGAGCGAGAGAGAGAGAGAGGATACCCCTTAGCCCTCTGCCCTCTGCCTCACCCCTCTGCCCTCCGCCCTCCAGAGCTATTTAAGGGCTGTTTCTCTCTCCCCCTCCTCATTATTTCGTGTGGAGTTCATTTCCGGCGGCTCGCGCCGACGGCCTTCGGCCGCGCGCTCCTGGTGGCAAGGAACAAGGCAGTGGACTGCTATTCCAGGAGAAACACGCATGCACAGGAATCAAGGGAGCAGAGCCTAGGCAAGAGAGAACGGCATGCAATATTACACGCGGCGGAGGCCTACATCGTGTACGGCTCCGCCCCCTCCATCTCAAGCATCGAGCGCATACACGCCGATACCGCAAGAAGAAGATGCGCCGATGACTGGAGCACGTCCAGGGGGGTCCCGGCCTGAGCAGCCCCTACAAGATCCCCCACGTGGCGGGGGAAAGTACGGGCTAAGGGAGCTACCCCGGCGGGCGCTTCCGACACGGGCGCCAACGGCGACTCGAGCGATCCTGCCAAAGTCACGCAGGATCCTCGGGATCCTGGACCGAAACTGCTCGGAAAGTTCCGGGTGGCCCCACACACTGCCAGCTGCAAGTTCGCCACCACCTCGCACGCCTCCGCCAGATTCAATATCCGGCACATGGTCAGCATGGGGTCTCTCCCCACGGGATTGGGGTGAGGTGCAGTCTGCTCTTCGAGCGGAAACGACGCCGACCAGCCAGGAACGCGGCCAACAGTCAAGCACCCAGCGGAGAAGCCAGGAACCTGACGAGGGGAGCGATAGTCGGGTCTCCCCACCCGCGCGGGCAGATACTCGGCCAACATCGGCGCGCGCAGTGGGGCCACCGGGCCGGGATCCGCGGCAAAGGGAGGGCCATTTGTCACCTCGATGTGAACGTGAGTCGGCCCCCCGCTCGCCCGGGCCTGCCGCACCACATCCACGAATGTGTTCGCAGCGTGATCAAGAGCAGGATCCGGCTGGCGGCCAGATGAGCCGCGCCCTCCGCCATTCCGCCGGCCCCGCCGCCCAGCGGAACCACCCGAATTCGGACGCGGAGGGGACGGCCCGCGACGACCTGATTCCCAGCGACGCCCAGGCGACCCCTTCCCCCGCGTCGCCGGAGCTCGCCGAGGTGATTGTTGAGCGGGGGATCGCGCTCGGGGTGAGCGCTGGCCTGCTCGACCACGAGGAGACGGGCGCCGAGGAGAGCAAGGACGCTCAGGGGAGCGCGGATCCCCCTCCCTGCGCTGATAGTGTTCGCGACGCGCGGGAGATAGGCGACGAGGAGACGGCTGCCGTTGGGGATGACGCTGAGGCGAGCGCCCGCGCTGCTGCGGCTGCTGACCGTCAGGACGGTTCGACGCTACACGCGCAGGAGCCCACGAATACTCAGGGGGGGAGAGGCGCGAGGCTGGCTGATGGGGAAGAGTCTGCACCCGCTCGAATCGGTGAACGGGCTCGCTTGCGGAGGGATGCGCAGGCAGTCGTGGCCGAGGCTCGGCAGGCGCAGGCTCCCGCGGCGCGCTCTCCGCGGAATGCTCAAGCTCCGGATCCCGTCTTGCGGACGGGTCCATCACTCCCGACCGTAGCGCAGCAGATGCCAGCGCGCCGACGAAGGGAAGGCGAGACGACCGCGGCGCCGCTGGCGGGGGGCGAGGGAGTCGCAGTAGCAAGAGCAACGCGCGGAATCTGCGTCGGACGCGGCAGTCGCCGCGGACGAAGGGGTAGCGAGCGGGGACGGGGAGGCGGCGGTGCGCGGGGCACGAACAGACGCCGCACAGGAGCCAGCGGCTTCGCGAGAAACGCGGAGAGGCTGATACGTCAGAGCGCGAGAGGCGGCGAGGAGGAACTTCGCGAGGAGGCTGAGGAGGCTACGGAGAATGAGAGAAGTGACGAGGGGGACCCCTTATTTAACCCTGAAAGAGAGGGGTTGTTAGGGGTTGAAGTCGAGGAGGATGACGAGGAGTTGGATCGCCTACTCCAAGGAGAGGAGGTCCCCAGCCCACGTGCCCGAGGCGTTCCTGCCAACCAAACCAGATCCGAAGGTGTGGGGCAAATCCCAAACCTGGGCCGAGCCGCATCTGCAACCCCAACCCCCAGAAATCGGACCGCGAGACCAAACCGAACCGCCCCCAACATTGCGGTTACCACCGCCCCAGCCAGTAACGCGGGCCCAACGCCTGCCACCCCCGCCCCAATCATCAGCGCTGACATCCTGGCAAGACGTCAAGACCTTTTCGCTGACATCGCCAACTGGGACCTCGGCCCGCTGCGCGACAGCAGACAGCCTCCCCTTGCCCGCCACCCTCCTCGCCCACTTCGCGAATCCTTCGCCATCTGCCTGCTGACCCCACTTCTGCACCTCGCCATAACCCCTGATTCCACTCCTGGTTGGAAGCTGCTGATGTTTCTCCCGCGAATTCTCCTGCGCTCGTCATCTGCACGAAAACCAGACTGGAAGGCAATGGGCGACAGACTGACGAGATTTCGCCAAGGGCAGTGGCGCGGCCTTTACGACGAGGCGGCAGAAGCAGTGAACAACAACCCCCAACCACGCCACGTACCTGACACCACGGGAAAGCTGGCGAGAGCCGAGGGATTAGCGAAAAGGGGAAACCTGGCGAAGTCCCTCCAGTCGCTAACTGCCACGCCCGTCTGCTCGCCAACCCCTGACGTATTGGCTGCGCTCACGGCCAGGCACCCAAGGGCCACCGCAGCCATCCCAGTCTGGGTGCAAGACTTTGCCCCTGAGACTCTGCCCTCAATCACAGCTCGCGAGTTCAGGAAGCTGCTGGCCCGTTGCCCCAACGGCGTAGGGGCTGGGCCATCAGGGACTACCTTCGAGCACTTGAGAGATGCGGCCCTTGGGAACACCGACGTCCTCCTACAACTGCACGCGCTTACCAACACGGCGCTAGCGGGTAAACTGAGCGCCGAGGCTGCAGATCTACTCACCGCTTCGCGCCTGCTCGCCTTCACGAAACCCCAAGGCGGAACTAGGCCAATAGCCGTGGGCGAATGTCTGCTGCGTATTGTCACAAAGGCGGCGCTCTTCCTGGCCGCCCCTGCAGCGCGCGACCACTTCACCCCGCTACAATTCGGTGTGGCGATCGCGGGGGGCATCGAGGCAGCGATACACGCGGCCCGCACCTACCTGGAGGAGTTCCCCGGAGCAACGGCCCTCCAGATCGACCTGGCAAACGCTTTCAATGCCGTGGAGCGCGCGGCGGTGTTTGAAGGACTGAAAGGCACGAAGCTTGACACCCTGGTCCCCCTCGTCCGCCTCTCATACGGCCGCCCATCAGCCCTCTACCTCGACCACGATTTCGAGGCGGCGCCTCTACAGAGCGCGCGAGGCGTGCGCCAGGGTGACCCACTGGGGCCTATGCTGTTCGCGGCCAGCATCCATCCCTGTCTCGCTGCAACGGCGACGGCCCACCCAGAGGTGGTCCTCCTCGCGTACGCAGATGACATCACCCTGCTAGGTGAGACTGCGAGCTGCACGGCGGCCTTCAACCACCTCACGGAAGCACTTCTCAGCCACGGCCTGTCCCACAACCCCGCGAAATGCGAAGCATGGTCCGCCACAGCCCTGGAGCCCGCCGCTCTGCCCCACGGCGTCACTATCTCCCGGGACGGGATCCGCGTCTTGGGCAGCCCGATTGGGCCCCCCGCCGGCTGCGCTGCCCGAGTGCGGGAACGCCTTAAAGCTGCTGCTGAACCGCTCCCGCTCCTCTCCCAGATGGACCCGCAACTCTGCCTGCTCCTACTTACCCGCTGCGTGAGCCGCCGCGCTTCGTTCATGGTCAGAGCCACGCCGCTTGAAGCCCTACCGCTGAGGGAATGGTCCGCCTGGGGGGAAGAACTGTTCCATACCTACCTTGCCGCAGCACACACAGAAACCCCCAGAGCCCGGGTCGAGAGGGAGAGGATTTGGCACCAGGCCGCCCTGCCCGCGTCCCTGGGAGGCCTGGGCATCACCAACCCTGCAGTGGAGGGGGGACATGCCTACCTGGCTGCAGTCACTGCTGCTGCACACCTGCTGCGAACCTTCGGCGACGCGGCAAACCCTGCTCTCACTGGACTGCTGCCGCTAATGGACTCCAACGAGGAATCTACGTCCCTCCTCCCAAGGCGCCTTGCTGCCCTAGAAGCCGCGCTGCCTCCTGAGGGGATCGAGGCCCTCCAAGTGGGGAGACAGAGACCGGACGGGCCAAAGCTCCAACAGTCGCTCTCCCTCGCGGTTCAAACTGCAAGGTTCATGCAACTGCTCGAGAGCTCGCGGGAGATGGAGCTCAACCCACTGTTCGGACACACGCAGCGGCTGCAGTCCCTCTTGGGCCCCGGCGCAGGGGACTGGCTGCTCGCCGTCCCGCTGATCTCCTCCCTCCGCCTCGGGCCCTCTCAGTTCTCCACAGCGGCCTCCTTCCGCTTAGGCCTCCCCCTACCTGTGCCAAGGCGCTGCGACTGCAGATACCGCACCACATTCCCCGACGACCGCCTACCGAACCATTTGATGCGGTGCGAGAAAGGGGGGGGGAGAATTGCAACCCACAATGCCCTTCGGGACGAGTGCGCAAAGATAGCTGCGGAAGCGGGCTTCACCGTGCATAAGGAGACAACGGCTTACTCACCGGTCGAAAACCTCAAAGCGGATATCTCTATCCGCCATCCCGACACCGGTGAAGTGTGGATCTGTGACATCACGGTCACGGACCCCGTCTCCCACCAGGATGAATACGCCCGTAAAGCTCCCGGTTGGGCTGCTAGAATGCAGGCGGACAAGAAGGCAAGCAAATACGCCAGGCGGAGCGCTTGGGTGGGCTTTTACGCCTTGGCGGTTGAGACCTACGGTTACCCCTCGAGTGGAGTCCTGGAATTCCTTCGCAGCTGCGCGGAGTTAGCGGCCATGCGGCGGTTCAACGCCACCCCCAAGTCGAGGGAATGCGCCAAGCTACTCACCGAGTACCGGCAGCGGTGGAGTGTGACCCTGCAGAGAGCGCAAGCCACTGCCCTCAGGGATAAGACCCATGAGGCCCTCACGGCGGATGCGCTCGGCCTGCAGGGCCCGTTTACTCCAATGAGTGAAGGGCAGCTGTATCAGTTGATAGAAGACCCCTCCGGCCATTAGGGCCGGGCGGGGAGGGGGGGGCTGGGGCTGGGATAGTGCGGGGTTAGCTGCTGTTTTGCTGTAGCCTGGCCGTGAGATTGCTGTAGCCTTACCATCTGTGTACCTCGCTGACATTAATACCAAGGCCCGTTCGAGAGAGAGAGTGGCAGGGTTGAGTAATAGCAAGGAAAGGGTGAGCTCACCGCTGAGCGCATAGCGCTGGCCGCGAGAGAGGCGCAATGCGCCCAGCGGATTGCTCACCGCTGAGCGCATAGCGCTGGCCGCGAGAGAGCAGCTATGCGCCCAGCGGCAAGGATTCCGCAGGGCGAATAGCGCAGGCCGCGAGAGAGCAGCTATGCGCCCAGCGGCAAGGATTCCGCAGGGCGAATAGCGCTGGAGAAAGAGGCGCAATGCGCTCAGCGGTGAGCAATCCGCTGAGCGCATTGCTGGCCGCGAGAGAGGCGCAATGCGCTCAGCGGTGAGCAATCCGCTGAGCGCATTGCTGGCCGCGAGAGAGCTGTGATGCGCCCAGCGGTGAGCAATGTGCTGAGCGCATTGCTGGCCGCGAGAGAGGCGCAATGCGCCCAGCGGTGAGCAATCCGCTGAGCGCATTGCTGGCCGCGAGAGAGCTGTGGTGCGCCCAGTGGTGAGCAATCCGCTGAGCGCATTGCTGGCCGCGAGAGAGGCGCAATGCGCTCAGCGGTGAGCAATCCGCTGAGCGCATTGCTGGCTGCGAGAGAGGCGCAATGCGCCCAGCGGTGAGCAATCCGCTGAGCGCATTGCTGGCCGCGAGAGAGGCGCAATGCGCCCAGCGGTGAGCAATCCGCTGAGCGCATTGCTTGCCGCGAGAGAGGCGCAATGCGCCCAGCGGTGAGCAATCCGCTGAGCGCATTGCTGGCCGCGAGAGAGGCGCAATGCGCCCAGCGGAATGCGCATAGCTTGGCGCATAGCGCTGGCCGCGAGATGCGCGCTATGCGCCCAGCGGCGAGCGTTCCGCTGGGCGCATAGCGCTGGCCGCGAGATGCGCGCTACGCGCCCAGCGGCGAGCATTCCGCTGGGCGCATAGCGCTGGCCGCGAGATGCGCGCTACGCGCCCAGCGGCGTGCATTCCGCTGGGCGCATAGCGCTGGCCGCGAGACAGGCGCTATGCGCCCAGCGGCGATCATTCAGAATTTCGAAGAATGGATGGATTCGAGTAGGTTCAGCATATAGGGAAGAGAAAGGGAGTGAGACGCACATCTGATACGGATCAGGTGTAACTCGAGCTTCCGTGGATTTTATGGCCGGGTAATAAGTCTGCTAAGAAGTCCTTACTAAGTTAGTGTCGAGTAGGGCTAGAGCAGGATGACGGGGAGCAATCTGATGGAGTTTGCAGGTTGGGTTGATCTTAGTGTGCACGCGGTGTACAATACGCTTGGTTCTGGTTCGGTTGAGTGGCGCACGTGGTTCAGGAGGACGTGGGTGCATCAGAGCTCGTGGCTTGGTTTGGCGCGAGCGGGAAACCGTCAAATCAGGGTCATGTCAGAGCTGATTTCATCAAAGTTACCATTCGCGTGATGGGCTGCTAGTGTATAGTTACCAAACGTGTTAAGCTAGTTACCAAACGCGTTAAGCGAGTTACCAAATGCGTTAGGTGGGTTACCAAACGCGATGAAATCGTTATCGTACGTGTTACAGTGCCCGATGTAAGTTACCATTCACATATTTTCCCTGGTGTTTATGTATCGATGGAAGACACGATGATTTCTCCTCATGTTGTTTTAGACGTAACTGTTGACTGCTTCTAGTGCTACACCCAAACCCCCCACCCCCCACCCCCCCCTCCCCCCTGATCCTGGTTTTGACTCAAATGATTCTGGACATAGAGGTGGTCTGTTGACTCCAATACTCCGACCGGCGCATTCAAAACAAAGACGGCTACGCCTGGAATCGCCGCAATTTCAGTCCATTTTAACAGAGCCGGGGAACTGTAGACTGTACACCTGTTGCGCGTTTGAGTCCCCCATACTTGCCTTACCATGAGGGTCTGTAAGTGTTTTTGACAATTCGCGGGATTTCGTGCATGTCGCCACGGGCATGGTGGGCGTTTAACTGGAACGTGTAACTTCTCGGGTAAGTTAAACATAATCATTGCTGGTTGGTTGTGATTGTTTGTTGTGTGTTGCCAGGGTTACCACCACATTTTCCCATTTTCGTAGCTCCCGATTACAGAATTACACACAAACAGGCACGAACATGCAACCACCACATTTCGGCCAATACCAGACGCACACATGCGCAAATGAAGTGTGTAACGGGGCTAGACACAGTTCACATTTGTGCACAAGATATGCACAAATGTGCTCAGAGGAGATTCCAACTCCTAAACCCCAAAATTCGCATCACTCTTCACAGGGTCATCCACTCAGCCGTGTCCACATAGCCGTTCATGACGGCACTCACGCCAGAGTCAATCAGCTGCTGGCGGGTGGGAGCATGTGCATACATCCACGCAGGCAGAACGCGCCCGCGGCGGCGAAGGGATGCCGCATCTTCGGTCGTGGCAGGAACCTGCGTGGGAGTGGACGCGGGGGACGCAGCATGCCGGGGATCGGGGATTGGCGCAGTATTCAGGTTCATTGGGGGGCTAGCCCGCTCCATGCGGTCCACGATGACCGGGTTCTTAATCTCGAACAGCGCACAAAGGTTACGCGGCGTGATGCCGGTGGCACGTGCGTAACCGATGAGCATCTCGCTCGCCGCACGTGCGTAACGCCGCGCCTCGCGGCTCTCTGGGTTGTCGTCCTCGTAGACGGCCTGCATGTTGGATGGAGGCTCCCATGACGCGCCCGAATACTGTGAAGCAAGGAAAACAGGAATGAAATGACTAAGTCAGAGTTGGGTACAAATACAACCCTAGAAAGCTGTACCCCATATGTGCTACCCCACTATAGCCTACAAACATGCATCAGCTATGATAATCTGACACACCCCCATAGGCAAAGTGGGGGAGAACAAGGGGTCACAAGACCAGTCAAGCAAAGCAAAGCAAAGCAAGCTCAGGGTGGATCACGAAGTCACCACACAGTCCGAGCACAAGAGCAGGGCCAGAGGCCAGTTCACATGCAGGAGTACAGACATATATATAAAACTAGACAAGCAAGAGCAGGTACATATATATGTCACAGTACAAGTGAAGTCAAGAGGAGAGCAAGTGAGGCAAGACAGGCACAAGACCCAGCTGGGTGCAAAAGCGCTGATGGTCACAAGGCGCGAGTGCCTTGGTGAACACATCAGCAGTGTTGGCCTCAGAGGCCACGTACGCAAGTCGCAACTGACCACGCTGCTGCAGCTCACGAGCAAGGAAGTAGCGGAGAGCAATGTGTTTCGTTCTGTGCTCCAAGCGCTGCTCTCGACACAAGGCCAGCATGGCCTTGTTGTCTACGTACAGCACTGGAGGAGAACGAGGTGGCTCTCCAAGGTCAGTCAGCAGGTAGGTGAGCCAGCGAAGCTCCTGTGCAGCCATGGCCCCGGCGTAGATCTCAGCCTCACAACTGGAGCCGAGAACCGAAGACGAGCGAGTAGACCGCCACGAGACAGAGCCGGAACCAAGGCTGAAGGTGTAACCCTGTGACGACCGCTGCATAGCCTGGTCGTCAGCCCAAGAAGCGTCCGCGTGGCCGGTAAGGACCACTGGACTCCGCCCTCCAAGCACTAGCCCCATGCCCGACGTACTGCACAGGTAGCGCAATACCCTCTTCGCTGCAGCCATGTGCTCTGGTCTGTGTCTCCCAGGAGCAACATAGCGTGCAAGAATGCTCAGAGGGTATGCAAGGTTAGGTCGTGTGCAGGTCATCAGGTACATGAGGCAGCCAACAAGCTCTGCATACGGACCACTCGACTCTACGAACTCATCCGAAGGCAGAGCTGAGAGTGAGTGGCGAGTAGGCAGAGGAGTGGCCTGAGGCGAGGAGTACGTGAAGCCGAAGCGCTGAAGGACCTGCTGCACCATGTGTGACTGAGTCAAGGTAATGGTGCGGCGTGCTCTGTCCCGAGTGATCTGCAAGCCAAGGTAGCTGCGCAGTTCACCCAGGTCTGTGCACGTGTGTCTCTTCAGCAGCTCGGACTTCACGTAGGCGAGTCAAGCAGTGTCCGCTGTGGCAAAGACCAAGTCGTCGACGTACACGAGGATGTAGAACGGCGGCAGGGAAGTGTCGGTGCGAAGAAACAGCGACGGGTCAGCAGTAGAAGGAGCAAACCCAAGAGCCGCAAGCGTAGTCCTCAGTGTGTCGTGCCACTCACGCGGTGCCTGGCGGAGACCGTAGACTGGCCGTCGGAGGCTCCACTGGGTGCCAGGAGGGAAAGTCCCAGTGAAGCCAGGTGGACGGCGCAGCCAGATCTCCTCGTGCAGGCTACCCTGCAGGAACGCAGTGCTGAAGTCGAGAGAGTGAAGCTCGTAGTCGCGCTGAGCGGCAATGTGCAGCAGCACCCGAAGAGTGGTCATCTTCGGGGTGGGAGAGAAGGTCTGAAAGTAGTCAACTCCCTGCCGCTGACTGAAGCCACGAGCAACGTACCGCGCCTTGAAGACAGGTGGAGAGCCCGGCGGCCGCTTCACCCTGAAGATCCACATGCCACTGACGATGTTCGCCCCAGGAGGGGGAAGTGCGTCAACGTAGGTGCCTGTGGACTTCCAGGAAGCCATCTCTGCATCCATAGCTGCCTGCCACTGAGAGGAGTAGGGACCCTCTACGGCCTCCGCGTAAGAACGCGGAGTCGGGATGTCTAGTGCATCCGGGTCTCCCTCAGGGGCAAGCAGTACAGACGCGAGATGAGGTGAAGCAGTCGCTAGACACTGTAACTCCTCCTGTCTGTCCTCTAGGACGTCCGTGCCAAGAGCACACTCACCCCCGACGGACGGAGGACAGACAGACGCAGACTCAGCAACAAGACTAGCAGCGTAGTCGAGACGACAGCGAGCAGCAAAGTCGACGAGCTCAGCGACTAGAGCAGACGCAGCAGTGGACTCAAAAGAGGGGTCAGTGACGACAGTAGCAAGCAGACGCGTGACACTAGGACTGGCAGCACGAAGAGAGTCCGACTCAGGGTCGGCAAGCGCAGGAAGAGAGGACTCCGGAGGAGAAGGCAAAGGGGCACGCAGAGGAGCAGTGGACGGACGCAAAGACATCCAGTGCGTGCCAGGGACAGGAGGAGGACGCTGACGCGAACTGCGACCACTAGCGCGAGCAGCACGAACAGGCGACGCGGGACGAGACGCAGGCTCACGACGCTCAGCAAGACCTCCAGTAGGACCAGTGTAAGGAGAGGGAGCAGGCAGGGGAGAGGAAGGCTCCAGCAGGGACTGCGACTGGACAGGCGGTGGACCCTCTACTGGAGGAGAAAGACCAAGAACCTGCTGCAGGAGCGGAACGAAGTACGGCCGAGGCCGCGCGGCAGCTCCAGACGCAGCAGGGACAGCACCAGCACCCTCAGCGACAGCACCAGCGCCACACACACCTCCAGCGGCAGGACCAACAGCAGTAGGCTCAGCACCAGCGCTCTCAGCAGCTCCAGCTCCAGGAGGACCCGCAGGTCCACCAGCTCCGGGACCGGCAGCACCCGCACCCTCGACGGTCGAAGAAGCTCCAGCTCCAGCTCCAGCAGCACCTCTAGACTCAGCAGCACGCCTCCAGCGGCGAGCGAACCACTCGCGCAGCTCCTGTGGAGAGAGGGGCTCCCGGCGAGACGTAGCAGCAGGAGAAACCCCAGGCTCAGCAGCTCCAGACGCAGCACCCCCAGGCTCAGCAGCTCCCAGCTCAGCACCCCCAGGCTCAGCAGCTCCCGACCCAGCACCCCCAGACCCAGCACCTCCAGGCACAGCACCCCCCGGCTCAGCACCCCCAGGCTCCGCACCCTCCGCAGTAGCACCCTCAGGCCCAGCACCCCCAGCAGTAGCACCCCCAGGCTCAGCACCCCCGCGCACAGCACCCCCAGAGTCAGCACCCCCAGGCTCAGCACCCGCAGCAGCACCAGAGTCACCAGTAACCTCGACCGGGTCAACGGCGTCTACCTGGGACACACCTGAGGGGGCAGGAACCTGAGGGGGGAGGGGGTCTACCGGGGGGGGAACCGGCACAAGGAAGTCCGGGGGAGGGGGGAGGGAAGGAGTGCGGTAGGGGATGAGACGGTAGAAGAGGACTGACTCGTCGAACGTGACGTCCTGGGAGGACAGAACACGACGAGAGGAGGGGTGGTAAAACTGCCACCCTGGGGCGTCAGTGGGGAAGCCAAGGAAGACACAGGGAGCAGCACGAGGGGACAGCTTGTCCGCAGACAAGTCGCGGACAAACGCCCGAGATCCCCAGACACGGAACACAGACGCATCGCCAACCTTCCCCGTCCACAGCAAGGCTGGGGACATCGCAGGCCGAGAGACCCGGGGGTGAAGGTTGAGCTGATGCGCCGCGTACCTCACCGCAAACGGCCACAGAAAATGGGGGGCAGCCGCATGCATCATGGACGTACGAGCGACATCCATGACCATGCCAATGCGGCGCTCAGCAATCCCATTTTGCTGTGGTGAGTCCGGAAGCGTGAAGGTCTGGCGGATCCCCCGTGCACGACAGTAGTCCCGCAGAAGGCGAGAAGAGAACTCTCCGCCTCTGTCAGAGTGCAGACGCAGAACAGGAAAGTCCGAGCCGAAGCTCTTCCTGAGCTGGAGACGAGCCTCGCGGATCCAGTCGATCAGCACCTCAGTGACCGCACCCTTGCTGCGCAAGGGGAGGACTGTGGTGTAACGCGAGTAGTCGTCAACCACCAACAGGAAGTAGCGCTCGTAACCCTGCCCACGGACGGGGGCTGGGCCCCACACATCCATGTGAAGCGTCTGCAGGGGAGCCTCTGTCGGGGGGAAGTGGGAGGAGTGAGGAGTAGCCCGGAGGCGACCCTCGACACAGGGGACACATGAAGGTCCCGGCCCGGAGGGGAGAGGAGGGAGAGACTGGGGAAGACCAGAGACAAGGACACGGGAAGCCATGCTCCGAAGACGGGGCAAGGAGGGGTGGCCAAGACGGTGGTGCCACAGGAGAGTCTCGTGAGACGGGAGGCGACAAGAACAGGGGGCAGACTCAGGACCTGACCGGGACGCAGCAGCAAGCACCTGACCCGACGCAGCCACCTGACCAGACGCAGGGACAGGAGGAGACTCAACGGTCAGGGTGTAGTGACTCGACCCCGGCCGACGCGAGAACGTGGCCAGGTGTCGGCCTGTGCGTGCCTCCGTGCAGTGGGTCACCCGCTGACTCGCAGGAGTGAACTGGTGAACCCCCACATCCTGCAGGTCCGCTCCACTCACCAAGTTCGTAGAGAACGAGGGAAGGTACAGACCCGACAGGGTGCCCGAAGGGGCAGCCGGACACGGGAGGACAGTGGAGAAGTGAGACAGGACAGGACCCCCAGAGGGGTCAGCAAGGGAGACCGCAACCGGCCGGCCGAGCGGCGTAAGGGTAGTGCGGTCTCGAAAGAAGGAGCGAGAAGCCCCGGAGTCAAGTGTGAAAGTGAGGGAGGACGAGGACGACGCAGTACCTGAGAGCGCAGTCTCACCAGTACCTGAGAGCACAGACGCACTGGCACCTAGAGCAGCAGCCTCACAAGCACCTAGCGCAGCAGTACCAATGCCCGGGTCGGGCTGGAAACAACGGTAACCCTCATTCTCCTCACTATAATCCACAACATACATAGCAGCAAGGATAGCATCAAAATCAAGATCAAAGATCGCTACACCAGCCCTGAGAAGCTCATCCCAGCGAGGGATCTCACTAGCCCCA